TTAACCATTTTTTAAACATGATCAACTCCATTCCATTATGTAGTCAATGGAAAATAATATCTATTGCTACTTAACCTAAAAATGACCCAATATCCATAGGAAGTCCCTGTCCACAACGGTCCGTTAAGATAGCCTTACCGAGAGGTGCCACCAGACGTGCAAGGTTACTGGACACTACTCTGAAATTTAGTCTGGTAATCTGTCAGTGAGCGTCTTTTTATTCCCGATACGGGGTGGGGGTGGGGGGATCCAGTCACACCCTTAATGGTTATCATGTAATTATGTCTTATAGTTGGACAGATATCCGCAGTAGGACTTTTCTGCAACAAAGAATTTGAACGTAATTAATTTGAATCACTATTCAACTTTCTCTATTTAGCACCTGTATCTATAGTTTGTTTAAAAAATGTTGCGATCGATCGTAATTGCCTGTCCTTTTCGCACACGTAATTTTTGTTTGTGCTGGTCATAATACGTACAATAGTTCTTCACCGTCTGCAACAACGGCTTTGCCTTTCCTCTGCAGTTAACAATAACTTAACACAACTCCTATATACCAAAAACAGGAAATAAAACCTCCCTTCATATCTTAAGCGCATTCGTTGGAGGATTCATCATAAACGAAACAAGATAACGGTCCTAATAATATGGGAATAGCTCGGATTGTTCCAAGTTCTGGCGCATTCTGCGTTCGGTCCTGCTCTCGATCGAAGTCCGATGAAGAGAGATTACCGCAACGTCGTTTTCAAGACACGAGTTGGGACAATTCCAGCTGGAAAGGACGATTGCCAGTAATTCACATGCTCGCCACCGAAGGACGAGACAGCGAAACGCCGAACGAGAACAATTAGAGCGAAACGAAAGTGTTGACAATTCCTAAATCTCAACACGATAAAATCCTTGTATACTTTTTTCATAAGCATAATATTCCTACTATCGCGAAACAGAGATGTAAATCAATTAAGGAAATCACAATAAATGAATGTGTTTTCCCTGGCGAATTTGTGTGATTCAAACTGTGACGACTCGAAAAGGTCGTTATATACATACATATATAAGTATTCATATATATGTGTGAGTATTTGGGCACAGACTCACATATATTAATGCACACACACGCACACACGTATGCACATGCATATATATATTTCTTTATGTATGTGTGTGTTGGTGGGAGGGGTGAATATGTGTACGTAAATGTATACATACAACTATATACATACTATATACAGACATATGTGTTCAATATATATGTAAATATTTATAGATATATACAATACTTATTGATATATGTGTATATATTATGCATACATATGCACGTATTTGTGTATTTACATATAAACTTATACATATACATATATTAGTATGTATATATTGGTCTTGCACTCTTGACAACAAGAGACTGAGGTATTGCATTAAAGCACTTATCTCGTTGATTAACGTCAACTTCAAATAAAAAAGAGCAGTCACCAGTAAATATCGTACATCACCGTAAATAACACTGGACATCAAAGCGATTTCAGTCGACGCGGATCCTCGCAAGTACGCTGAGTGACGAGATCTTCCTTCCTCTAAAGGTATGATTTGCGGGCTTCTCGTCGTCCCAGTGGTGTATCTCAGTGACTTAAGTATTGAAAGTTGGTTGCACATCGGTACATATAATTCTTGCTAGCTACTTATTTCGAGAAATAAAGACATCAGATGTCCTCTTCATACATCTGGGGCTCAATGATATATTTACTCATAGTCACATTGGCGTCAGCAGATGCGTCTGGTTGTATCAGTCTTTTGGATGGTGGTAGGGGCGGCGTGAGCACTGGAGGAAAAACGGTGTGGGTAACCTTTACGATGAACAGTTATTTACTTATCATCCTAATTGCACCCAGGTAACTTCACTGAACAAGGAAAGAGGGGGGGGGGGGGCAGTTTGCATATTTATGATAAATATGTACATTATGCATGTATGTATGTTAATGAGGTTAATAGCATTCCTTCGTTGCAGCAGTCTCACAGATCTTCTCTTGCTGCACCAAGAAGTCTTCGGGAATCTTGACTGACAACAAAGCTTCCTTTCAGTGGATGAATATTTTTACCCCGTTCAGGAGTATCCTGCCCTGGTAACTTAAAAGGAAATTGGCAACACTAGTTTGTATCTTGCTAAAGAGACCGACGTGGCTTGGGAAGCTGCTCGAGTTTTTTTGTTTTTTTTTACACGCTACCCGTATAAAACATTCTGCAAAATATGTGAAATATGCCGTTTAAAAAAGAAGAATTGTGAATGCTTATAAGAAAGCTTCACAAAGATCCAGAAATCGTAAAAATGATATGCTGTTTTCGCTTCCAGTCGCTGTAAAGGCAACGACTGTCTGGGTGGGCGGATCAGACCACATAGCAGAAGGGGAATGGAGGTGGGTCAATGGGGAAGATATGCCGAGAGGAACGCCCTTTTGGGGAGATTATAATTAGTAAGTTATTTTCAATCTGTACATGATGCCTTCATGGGAAAGTACATATGTATGTGTAATGAATACACACATGTGTTTTTATTTATTTACTGTGTACCTCTTTATTTTCGAAAGTTGAATAAATTTCATGCACCTTATCCATGCCTAAGCTAGGGAATCTTCATAAAAAAAAGTATGCGGATAATCATAAATAGTTGAAGTCAATAATGCCTATATGTACTCTTGCCTATATGTACTCTACGCCAAATATCGCTGATAAGAAATTTATTTCCCCACTTGATATGTGTGTGCGTATGCATGTATATGCATATGTACATGTAAATACATATGTATACATATACACCCACTATGTCTATGAATATATGTATATATATGCATATATATGTCCATATAAAGGCAGTACATATCTACATACATGTACATAAATTTATATGTATATATGTATTTATATATATGTGTGTGTATAAACATATATGATATATATACTTATACACATACATATACACCACATACACACACAACCACACATAGATATATATGCATATGTATGTATGTACACACACTATATATATATAAATATATATATGCACATATATGCATATATATATATATATATATATATATATATATATATATATATACATAGTAAAAATACGCATACAGATATATATGGATACATTTGTGTATGTCTATCAATACACAAACACAAACAAACCCATATCTGTGTATATATTTGTGAATGTACACATTTGTATACATAGTATAGACATACGTAGGTATGTATATGAATATATGTATTTATACATATATATGCAGATATATCCATATATATGTATATATACACATGTTTATATGTACATATACAGTATATATAGAATTTTATATAAATGTATATATATAATACATTCATACAAATGTATGTATATATATGTATTTACATTTTTATACATGCATATACCAATACCATACTTTTACATTATACATGTTCTTGGCGAGAAAGGTATCGTAATACAGCGCTTATATCATAAATCAACTTTCGTCTTAAGATTTAAAAAGAAGAGGTACTAGTGAGGTGAGTGACAAAGTCGAGCTCTTTGTTCCTCGAGAAGTATAAGTCAGATATGCGAAGCTGAGCCTCGCCCGGGATATGCTTTATGAAGGAAGCCCAGCCTGTGAAGGAAGCCCAGCTGTTCTGGCTAATTCTGACTGGTGTAGCTTAGAGCAACTCAAGAGACGATGTTGGGTAGGTCAGTTAAAATATTATCTGCAGTGACACCCAGTATTGCTTCATCCAGGTACCATAGACTTTGAGTCCGCTACTTGGTAACGTGGAGGCCCTGTCGACCCCAAGAGAAAAAGGGGCTAGGCCTATAGGGTCCCCTAGATGCAACCCTGTGGTAGACTTGCAACACGGTCTCTCCATAAAAAAGAGAGGCTATTGAATAGGACTGTCATACGAATCGAAAAAGGTGTAGGTCTTGCTCTTTTGCTGCGATTAGGAAAACGTCTTTACGAATGTAGTTAAAAGAATTTTTCATGTGGTTTTGATAAGAGCACGTTTTTCCTATCAGCTGTTTACATATAGCGGGTGTTTCACTTTCAATGCACTGATGGCATCCTCGCCACGGCAAGCGAGGAGTCTTACCGCATCTGTTATATCGCTGTCGGCAAGTTCAGACTGAAGGTGAGTGTGGCCAGTGTTGGTTACGGGCTGTAAAGGAAAGAGAAATATGGCTGCATCCATTCCTTTGCACTGAGAGTATGGTCCACAGAGTCAAGGAAGGCAGGCCTGTCTCGGTAAATTGACCTCTTTGTACTTACTGATTAATCATATGAATACCAGTGACATATTAGAAGTGGGAGAAAATTACAAAAGTATATTTATTGTAACAAACAGTAAACAACGCAACACAGCTCGTATATAACTAAAACAGGGACTAAAAGCTCCCTTCAAAAAAGAAGCATACTCATTAACCAAACAAAAAATGGTCCTGGACATCAGGAGATGGTCCTATCAAAATATGGGGAATGAACTTAGCTCAAAATGAACACGAATAGCCGAAGCAACCGTCATGATGTCTCCTCACACCGATCTCAGATTGTAGGGCGCAGTCAGTTTTCGGTCTTGCTCTCCATCGAAATCCGATGAAGAGAGATTACTACAATGTCGAGATTAGGAACAATTTCAACCGGAAAGGACGGGCGCCAGCAATTCACATGCTCTCCCTCGAAATCACAGGAAGAGAGAGGGAAACGCCGTATGAATTCAGTATATAGATATATGTATATATAAATATAAATTATGTATACATATGTGTATATAAGTATTCACATAAACAAACCTTATGTGTACATACAGTACGTCCACTTACATATACTTAATAGTGTGTAGACTATTAGTCTCACTCTCTTGCCAACAAGAGACTGGGGTATCGCATTACAGCACTTATACCGCATATTAACGTAAAAAAAAAAAGTTACTTGCTCGTAAAATGCAAATACCACTGTTATAAAGAACGAGAGCATCGAGGCGACTTCAGTCGACGCAGATCCTCGCAAGTGAACTGAGTGCCGCAGTTGAGCTCCTTCCACAAAAGGTATAATTCCTTCGCTCTCGTCGTCCCTCGCGTATAAACTGTCTGTGGAATTCTCAGTGGTTTAGGGATTCAAAATTGGTTTTATATCTTAGCATATAATTCTCAGTAGGTAACTGTAATCTGGAAAAGTAAATAGATATCAGATGTCCCCTCTATATATTTGGGGTTAAATGACACATTTACTCAGTTATATTGGCATTGGCAGATGCGTGTGGTTGTATCAATCTTTTGGATGGTGGCAGCGACGGCGTGGGCACTGGAGGAAAACAACTTCTTCGATGAACATTTTCCTCCTCTTCAGCCTAACTGCACTCAGGTAACTTCACTGAGTAAGGAAGGGGGGAAAGTTTGCAAGGAGCACATTTACTGTAAATCTGTACATTGGTATGTATGTTGATGTGGTTAAAAGAATCCCTTCATTGCCGCAGAGTCTCACAGATCTTCTCTTGCTGCGCCAAGAAGTCCTGCTGAAAGAACTGAAGCAGGCCGAGCAAGTGTCTGCAGGAGTCTTGAGGGAGATAGCGGACATCTTGACTGACAAAAAAAATTCCTTCACGTCTGGAGGTAAAAGTTAAATTGGTTCAAGTTTACGAAATACCGAGTGGATTACTACGAACTCATTAATATATCTAGGTAAATTAATATCTTTACTCCGTGCAGAAGTATCCTGTCCTGGTAACTTCAGAAAATGCGGCGACACTTGTTTGTATCTTGCCTTAGACACCGGAGTGAGTTGGGAAGCCGCTCGAGTTTTTTGTCAAGGCCTGGGAGGAGATTTGGCCGTGTTTCGAGACGCCAATGAATTCGCAGAGGCTCTCAAATACGTCAAAAGTTCGGGTAAGTTTCTTTTACCTTGCTTCAAGTCAGTGTATTTTTTTATATACTTTTGTAGTACAATTTGCATAGATACCCAAAACAATTGCTCTCATTGCCACTATGAAAATAAGATTGGGTAGAATGATAATTGTAATGAATATTATGAGAATACTTACGTCCTTCATATGATGTTATAAACATTCCAGTTTGATTTCCTATGGCGATATTAAACTCATGACTGATTCACTGTAGTCTGATGATTACAGTGTAACACAACTATAGAATGGACTGTAAACAGCTTGTTAGAACCACAGTTGCAATAATAGCAATCAGTTGTAACAGACAGTCAGTGCGCTACCCCTGTAAATCATTTTGCAAAATATGTGAAATAAGCCGTTTTAAAAAATTATGAACGATTATCAGACAGCTACGCAAAGATCCAAATATAGTACCAATGATATGCCGTGTTTTCACTTGCAGTCGCTGTAAAGGGAACGCCTGTGTGGGTGGGCGGAACAGACCGCATAGAAGAGGGGGAATGGAGGTGGGTCTCTGGGGAAGACATGCCGAGAGGAACGCCCTTTTGGGGAGATTATAACTAGTAAGTCATTTTTATTTCATAGATAAGGTATCCTTGAGAATGATCACTATGAATATACATATCTATATTTATATGGATGTGCGCGTGTATGTTTATATATATTTATATATATACATATATCAGTACACTTATACATAATTATACATATATTGCTTTCCACAGCGTGCGCGAACCAGCTGAAGGCACATCGGGGAACTGCGCCGCCCTGTATGGCCCTGATGGTTTCTTGATACATGATGGTGTTTGTCAAAATCCATACAAGCCTCTCTGTGAGATTAAGTTGATAAATAATTAAATCAATACAATCTGCATTTGTTAAACATTTGTTTACATTGTTATTTGTACTCATTAGTTTCAAAATGAAAAATGTAAATTCCTGTTGAGAAATGTATCCTGTCAAGCACTGTTGCTAAACTCCTTCGTAACCGGAGAGATTGCCATAAAAAAATATATATATGCATAAAGATGTGTATATATGTATCTCTTTATTTTCAAAGAAAAAAAAATCATACGCCTCATCCATGGGTTAACTAATGAATCTTCAAAAAAAAGCTTGCGGATCATCATAAATAGTTGAAGTCAGATATGTCTATGCTTACTCTTTTGCGAATAAACATGACAAATATCGATGATAACTGATTCTTTTTCCCATTTGATATGCGTTATGCGTTTGTCGGTCTGTTTGTGTATGCATGTATGTAAAGGATCTTTTGTTTAAAATGGTGTGCTTCGTCACTGAATTAATTACACTATCCAATTATGTTCTCACTTTCATTAAAAAAAAATGTCATAACCCTTACCATATAGATTTATAAATGTAAAAAAAAAAGAAAAAAAAAAAAAAAAAAAAGACCCAGTTGTCACGGGAAGTAGAGTGTCGTGGCGCCTGGCGTCAGCAAATCCATATATATATATATAATGACTGGAAATAAAATGAAATAAACTAAACTAAACTAAATAAATAGATAAGTAAACAAATAAACATGTAGATATACATTCTTAATCTGAGTATTTCACAATATTCTAAAAGTATTTTTTATCTGGTTGATAATGTCTTCCTTACTTATGAACCCGATATCACAACAACACTATACAAATTAATTTGTACATGGTAAATACATATAATCCCTTTATAATGTATAGGCATATGTACGTATGTAAATACATATTTATATATGTATACATATATAGGTATGTATTTATATACTTCCATACACACATACACATATTCATATATATATATATATATATATATATATATATATACATATATATATATATATCCATGCATATACATATCCATATAAGTACAGTGCATAGCTACACATGGTATATAAATCTATCTATATGTATATATATACATATATGAATATGTATAATCATAATATATACATATACTTACACCACAGACACACACATATATATACATACATAGACAGTATATATATGTGTGCATAGATATATACATGTACACGGTATAAGTATTTATGCACACACATACATATATACATATATATTTGTATACATAAAAATACTCACATACATATATATATGAGTGTGTATGTGTGTGTGCGTGTGTATACATATACTTGTGTGTATATACACATTATATATGTGTACATATATAACGTGCATAGAAATATATGTATGTATATGTATATTTACATTTATATTCATGGATATACAAATGCTAATAGTGTGCAGAAAATCGGTCTTGCATTTTCTTGACGAGAAATGTATCGCAATACAGAGCTCATATCACTAATTAACTGTCGTCTGAAATTGAAAAAAGAACAAGTACCAGCTTGTAAAAAGCGACAGACATCCCCGTTATAGACAATGAGTGCATCGAGATTTCAGTCCACGCACATCCTTGCAAGAGAGCTTTGACGAAATCAAGCTCTTTGTTCCTCGAGAAGTATGGTTTGCAATTTTAAGGATAAGTCAGATATCGGAAGCTGAGTCTCACCTATGAAGGAAGCTCGGCCTGTACCGACTAATGCCGACTCGATCAACGGTGTCAGCTGGTGCTGACTCGATATTCCTGATATTCCCCTTTTAAAAGATATTTGGCAGCATCTCACGAGTCCATTAAGGATCCATTGTTATGGCTAATTCTGGTGCAACTCAAGAGACGATGTTGGGTAGGTCAGTTAAAATATTCTGTACAGTGCCCCCCAATATTGCATCATCCAGGTACCATAGACTTGAGTCCACTACTTGCAACAAAGTCTTTCACAAAAGTATACATTTATTATAACAAAAGAAAAGCATGCTCTATTTCCTCACAAACAGTAAACAATAACGCAACTCAACTCGTATAGAAGAAAAAGAGGAAACAAAAGCTCCCATCAGAAAGGAAGCATACTCATTGGAGGATTCATCTTTAAGCAAAGAAAATAGTCCCCTCAAAATATGGGGAGTGAACTTAGCTCAAAACACGAATGCCCGAAGCAACCATCATGGCGTCCCTCTGGTGACTTCACCGGCTCCCCTCACACCGATCTCGGATTGTACCGGTTTATGGCGCAGTCTGCTTTCGGGCCTGCCCTCCATCGAAATTCAATGAAGAGATCATCACAATGTCGTTTTCATGACACGAGATTTGGGACAATTTCATCTGGAAAGGACGACCGCCAGCAATTCACGTGCTCTCCATTGGAATCAGAGGAAGAGATCGAAAGGCTTTATATATATATGTATATATACATATACATATATAAATGCATATATACACATATACATATATAAATGCATATATAAACATATACATATATAAATGCATATAAACACATATACACACAGGCACTCACACGTGTATACACACACACATTCGTATATATACACACACTTATATACATTTATACATACGTATATGTTTATGTGTATTTGTGCGTGTTTTTGTGTTGCTCATATCCATAAATAAGCAATTTTTCACCATACTTTCGCATAACCGATCGCGACGATTTTGGTATCGATGGATTCCTCTCTGTACTATCCAAATATATCGAAATTCTGCCGCGGAAACCCTCCAAAGCCCCACATTCTTGGTCCAGATAGCAGGGAGGGCATGCAAGGTACCTGGGAAATTGCGGGGTTCACTAATAATGATATAATAACATAATGATAATACCTCACAGCACTGTTTATTACAGGTGGCTACGCCCCTTGCGCGTATTCACGGCAGGATAGAGCACACGGCCTACTGTATCTTATACATATTTTAACCCACAATTTCCCTAGCACCTTTCATGCCCTTCCCTGCTATCGAGGCCAAGATTGTCTCTAATAAAGGGTTTCTGCGACATAATTTTGATATATTTGGATAATTGTGAGATAAATCAACCGATAGCTAAAACGTCGCGGTCGATTATTCAAATGTATTTTGAAATATACATAAATTTATATGGGTGTATGCATACACACATCTTTGTTCATACTGCATAAAGAAATGCATATATGTATATGTTCAGTATATATGTGCATATGTATATATATACATATGCATTATGTATACATAGGTATATATGCATGTATGTATTTACAAAGAAACTTGTGTGCACATACAGTGTGTATGTACGCATACATATACATGGTAGTGTGTAGAATATCGGGCTCACTCTCTTGCCAACAAGAGACTGGGGTATCGCATTACAGCATTTATGTCGTTGATTAACTGGCTTATTCAAATTAAAATAAAAAAGAACAGTTACCAGCTCGTAAAAAGCGAACATCACTGTTATAAACAAGGAGAGAATCGAGGCGACTCCAGTCGACGCGGATCCTCGCAAGTGATCTGAGTGACTTAGTTGAGCTCCTTCCACAAAAGGTATAATTCCTTCTTTCTCGTCGTCCTTCGCGTATAAGCTGTCTGATGTGAAATTCGTCTCAGTGATTTAAGGATTCAAAGTTGGTTTCATATCTTTGCATATAATTCTTACTGGATAATTGTTATTTTTGAGTAGATAAAGATATCAGATGTCCTCTTCAGGACATATTAACTCATAGTCGCATTGGTGTTGGCAGATGCGTCTGGTTGTATCAGTCTTTTGGATGGTGGCAAGGACGGCGTGGGCACTGGAGGAAAACAGTGTGGACAACCTCTACGATGAACATTTTCCTCCTCTTCAGCCTAACTGCACTCAGGTAACTTCACTGAGTAAGGAAGGGGGGAAAGTTTGCAAGGAGCGTATATACCTTAAATCTGTACGTTGGTATGTATGTTAATGTGGTTAAAAGTATCCCTTCATTGCCGCAGAGTCTCACAGATCTTCTCTTGCTGCGCCAAGAAGTCCTGCTGAAAGAACTGAAGCAGGCCGAGCAAGTGTCTGCAGGAGTCTTGAGGGAGATGCTACACATCTTGACCGTCAAGACTTCCTTCATGTCTACAGGTAAAAGTTATATTGGTTTAAAGCTACGAAATGCCGAACGTATTAGTATGAAGTGATTAATATGTCTAAGTGAGTTCAAATGTTTACTCCGTGCAGAAGTATCCTGTCCTGGTAACTTCAGAAAATGCGGCGATACTTGTTTGTATCTTGCCAAGGACACCGACGTAACTTGGGATGCTGCTCGGGGTTTTTGTCAAGACTTGGGAGGAGATTTGGCCGTGTTCCGAGACGTCAGTGCATTCGCAGATGCTCTCAAATACGTCAAAAGTTTGGGTAAGTTTTTTTTCTTTCCTTTTCTTTTTTTAACCAGGCTTCAAGTCAATGTATTCTTTTATGTACTTTTGTAGTACAATTGGAATGCAGAAATACCCAACTCAATAGCTGTCATTGCCACTGTAAAAATATCATTGGGTATTATGATAACTGTGGTGAATATTATGAGAATCCTTACGTTCTGCACATAATGGTATAAATATCCTAATTTTATTCCATAGAACGATAATAACTTTATGTCTGATTCACTAAAGTTTGAAGATCAGAGTGTAACATAGCTATAGAATGGATTGTAAGTAATCAGTTGTAACAGGTAACCAGCGCGCCATCCGTGTAAATTTAAATATGCCGTTTAAACTAAGAAAAATTATGAATGCTTATAAGACAGCTAAACAAAGATCCAGAAATCGTAAAATCTATATGCTGTTTTTGCTTCCAGTCGCTGTAAAGGCAACGACTGTCTGGGTGGGCGGATCAGACCACATAGCAGAAGGGGAATGGAGGTGGGTCTCTGGGGAAGACATGCCGAGAGGAACGCCCTTTTGGGGAGATTATAATTAGTAAGTTATTTTCATTCTGTACATGATGCCTTCATGGGAATGTAAATATGTATGTGTAATGAATACGCACACATGTACATTTATTTATTCATTGTATTGTAAAACTTACTGACAATGCTTCCACAGCGTCCGCGAACCAGCTCAAGGCACCGCTGCGAATTGCGCCGCCCTTTATGGCCCTGACGGTTTCTTGATACACGATGGAGTCTGTGATTCAAAATATAAGCCTCTCTGTCAGATTAAGTTAATGAATAATTAAATCATTGGAATCTGGATTTGCTAGACATTAGTATACATTGTTATAATTATTTTACAAATTGGCTTCAAGAGGAAAAATTCACGATGAGAAATGTATCCTGTCAAGCATAGTTGCTTCACTGCCATCGTGTACCTCTTTATTTTCGAAAGTTGAATAAGTTTCATGGATCTCATCCATGCCTTAGAATTTCCATAAAAAAGTATGCGGATAATCATAAATAGCTGAAGTCAATAATGATTATGCGTACTCTTTTGTGAATAAAATATGCCAGATATCGCTGATAACTGAATTATTTCCCCAATTGATATATATGTTGGTCTGTAAGTGTGTGTTAGTATGTATATGCATATCTACATGCATAAGTACATATTAATATATGTATACATATGTATAAATATATGTATACTTCCATACACACGTATATATACATATATATGCACATACATATCCATATAAATGCAGTACATATCTACATATACAAATATGTATTTATATACATATATATGTGTATAAACATATATGATACATATACTTACACCATATACATACACAAACACACCATATATATATATATATATATATATATATATATATATTTATATATATATGTATGCATATATATATGTATGAATATACACTCACACACTATACATATATATGCACACACGCACATACATTTGTATGCATATATTTATTTACATAGAAAAAATACGCACACATATGTATATATTTGTGTATGTCAGTACACAAACACAAACATACCCATATATATGTATGCATATAAACATACTATATATACACATCTGTATACATAGTATTGTTACGCCGGCCACCTCTCTACCTGCCACCAACACGAGGCAGGCTAGGCAAACGACGTGTTATTCACAGGGTCGTGAAGACTGAACAGCTCCAAGACGCTCCGAGTACCACACCGTCCCAAAACACCACGAGGGAAAACGCCACGGGCGAGGCAGGGCACGAAAGAAAAACTCACAATCACTGTCTTTCCTTTATTTACACAGTTATTTACCCGTACACTTTTCTATAGGCACAATACAGGAGGCAAACCAGCACATCACACTGCACAATACAGCATATACCAGGGTAACACAAAGTATATCAGGCTGGAGAAGGGCACACGCGAGGTCATCACAGCAGCGGCACCAAAACTCGACTCTCCCGTCTGCCCCCTTCCTCCGCCGCCGCGTCATCTTCCTGTCAAAACACGCCAACACGCGTTCGCACGCGCTCGCACACGTTTGCATATATATGTATATACACGCATATATGTATATATTTACAGTATATATATATATATATATATATATATATATATATATATATATTATAATTATACATAAATGTATAAATATAATATATGCATACAGATATATGTATGTATATATGTATATATATATTTACATTTATATACATGAATATACAAATACTGTACATTTGCATTGTACATTTTCTTGACGAGAGGGGTATCGTAATACAGCGTTTATATCACAAATTAACTGTCGCCTTAAGATTTTAAAAAGAAGAGGTACCAGTGAGGTGAGTGACAAAGTCGAGCTCTTTGTTCCTGCATATATATGTATGATTTGCAATTTTAAGGATAAATCAAATATGCGAAACTGAGCTTCGCCCGGACTATGCTTATGAAGGGAGCCCAGCCTGTGCCGACTAATGCCGACTCGATCAACGGTGTCAGCTGGTGTTGACTCGATTGAGCTTAGTCCTTACCCTCTGTGGTGCCCAGCCACAGCAGTAACCTCCAGACGACTGTTGAAACTTCTCGCGCCTGGGCGGGACGCGAACCGCCGACTCCTTGTAGGAGAGGCCGATTCGTTACTACTGTGCTAGCCCGGATGCTGTGCAACCTTGGAATAGCAAGCAACTTTTGAGAAGAGTCAGGGCTGGATTAGGATCAGCTGTTTAGGCTGTTCAATCATGTCCTGAAGCTCTTGATGCTTCCTTTACAGTACAGGCAATGTTGTAGTGAACCATAGGAAAACGGAATCATCAAGGGGGGTCCCAAGCAATTCGTGGCAGGGCTGGATGCCTGGAATCACTATGGACAACCCCCGTGGACGCTACAACGACGTTTTGTTTTTATTTTTTAATAATATGAATGTATATATTTTGTTTTGTTTTTATACCTGTTTATGGCTTGTAATTAATGCCTTAGAACTGTTCATAGAAAGACATATTGATTTTATTATATTACAAGCCTCCAGCACATAACTGCTTGTTCCCGCCTCTATGACGATGACAGAGGTATGGGAGATAAACAGGGGAGTCACGCTTTAGTTTTATATGTTTGTTTCTTGTAGTGATGTTCTTTTTAGCAAGTTGTGACCAGTCTCCTTCTGATTTTCCACATGGAGAGTGCTAAGTTTTAAACCTTCGCGGTACAGTTGTAAAATTCCGTTGAGTACATTTAACGTAACATTAGAGAACCAAAAGGGTTCGACATATGTTGATATAATGATGAATGCTACATGATGTATGTAAATTTCATGAACAATATTTATCCCAAAACCACCGTGTCCTCGGAGAGTGCTTACCGCTTGGCCCGTTCCGTCGGCATATTTCGGCAAAAGTAAATGATACTAGTAAATAGTGCGTGTCGAAGTTTGACACTATAATCAAGCCTTGCTAGTCACTACAATGTCGCGGCTACAGTTAGGGGAGACCAAAGCAACTGATGTTCTTCCTCTCTTAAAAGACACATTTGGCAGTAGCTTACGAGACCATTAAGGGTCCGTTGTTCTGGCTAATTCTGACTGGTGTAGCTCAGAGATGATATTGGGTAGGTCAGTTAAAATATCTGCAGTGACACCCAGTATTGCTTCATCCAGATACCATAGATTCGAGTCCACTACTTGGTAACGTGGACGTGGGTATTTCACTTTCAGTGCATTGATGACATCCTCGCTACGACAAGCGAGGAGTCTTGCCGCATCTGTTACGTCGTTGTCGTCAAAGTTAGACTGTAGGTAAGTGTAACTAGTGTTGGTTTCGGGCTGTAAAAGAAAGAAAAATATGTCTGCATCCACGATATGTGTGGATGGCGCATTACTTTGCCCTGAAAGTATGCTCCAGAGAGTCAAGGAGGGCAGGTCTGTCTCTTTGTACTAGTGGCATGATATTAGAAGGGAGAGAAAACCATAAATGTACAAAAGTATACATTTATCATAAAACTGGAGAATTCATCATTAACCAAATAAGAAAATGGTCCTATCAAAATATAAGGAGAGAACTTAGCTCAAAATAAACACGAATGCCCGATGCAACCATCATGGCGTCCCTCTGGTGACTTCCCCGGCTCCCTTCACACCGATCTCGGATTGTAGGGCGCAGTCAGTTTTCGTTCCTGCTCTCCATCGAAGTCCGATGAAGAGAGATTACAACAATGTCGCTTTCATGACACGAGATTTTGGACAATTTCATCTGGAAAGGACGACCGCCAGCAATTCACATGCTCTCCATCGGAATCGGAGGCAGAAAGAGCGAAAGGCCTTATATTATAGTATGTATATACACATGTATATACTACACACACACGTGTATACACACACACACGTGTACACCCACACCTACATATATCTATGTATATATTTGTATGTGTCTGTGTGTGTTTGTGTACTCATCTATAAATAGGTAATTCTTCATCATACCTTCACATAACCGATCGCGACGATTTTGGTATTGATGGATTCCTCTCTCTGCCATTCAAATATAACGAAATTATGCCGTGGAAAACCCCCAAACCCCAACATTCTTGGCCCAGATAGCAGGGGAGGGCATGAAAAGTACCTAGGAATTTGCGGGGTACACTAATAATGATATAACATAATGATAATAACTCACTACACTGTTCATTACAGGGGCTGGGTCCCTTGCGACCCCCATATGGGGGCAGCACGTATTCAAGGCAGGGTAGAGCACACGACCTACTGTAACCTATTCATATGTTACCCACAATTTCCCTGGTACTTTTCATGCCCTCTCCTGCGATCGATAATTACAAATATGGGGTTTCTGCGGCATAAACAGATACATTGTCAGGTGCAGATATATTTTTAAAAATGTTTGTGTATCTTTATTTTCAAAGTTCAATGAGTTTCACGCATCTCATTCATGGCTATGTCATCTTCTTTATTACTGATAAAGGAGATAAGGGCTGATAGTTGATTTGGAGTACCTCTCTTGTAGCGGTAACTGTTCCAGGCTGCACGTTTTAAGCGAAGTGCTTTAGTGCAATCAGAATTCCACCATGGAACACATTTAGAGGTATATGGTCTTGAGGTTCGAGGGATAGCTGTATGTGCAGCTCTTAAGACTGTAGTTGTGAAACATTGTATCATTTCTGAAATGGAGGTGAGGGAGGATGGAGGGGTATGAATAGCAGAGAGTGAAGTGAAAGTATGCCAGTCGGCTCTATCAAAGCACCAGCGTGGGGAGTTAGGAAGTGGTACGTATGAAGTAGGAGAAAGGAGAACTGGAAAGTGGTCACTATAGGGAAAGTGGTCTAAGACTGACCAGTGGAAATCTATATGAAGAGAAGGGGAGCATAGAGAGAGGTCAGTGCATGAAAAAGATTGCGTGCGTGTATCAAAGTGTGTGGGGCGATCTGAATTTAGAATAGTAAGGTCAGCTGTGGAGAGGAAGCGCTCTGGAGATCGGCCTCGGGAGTTGGTAATAGAATCACCCCAAAGAGTGTGGCGGCAGTTAAAGTCGCCTACTATGAGGAAAGGTGGTTGAAGTTGGGAAATTAGATTTTCAAAAGCAACATCAATGGGGTGGGAAGGGGAGAAGTAGACTGAAATCACTGTGATCCAACGATGAAGGAAGATACGAATAACTGTACAAGGGACATTGGTTTGAAAGGGTGGTGTGACATAAGGTGTTTTCTGATTGATAAGTATGGACGAGACATAAAGGGAATGTGGGGAAGAGACAAAATGATAATTGGGGATTGGTATTGGAGGATGTGTAAGAAAGGTTTCTTGAAGGCATACAATAGATGGGTTATAAGAGGAAAGGATATGACGAAGGTCAGGTCTGTGGGAGCGGAAACCGCGAATATTCCAATGAAGGATAGTTATACTTTCGTTGATTTAGTGATATAGATTGCAGTACGTGTTGGAGACTTTGAGGGGGAATCAGCTAGAGGGTGGGATAAGGACTGAGAGGTTTGAGATGGGAGAGATGTGGGAGTTGGTGTTCTATCAGGAGGGGTATTAGGAGATGGAGGGTCTGAGG